ATATAGGTACAAAAGTCTGTATCCTGCGAGAGTCGAATTTAGGAAGGGCAACCATAGGGACAAGGACGTGAACAGAATGGACGCCATTTTATTAATAAGTAAAATAAAATTTATAGACCTAAAAATAAATGTAGGTATTGTTGTTTGTTAAAGACTACTTGTTTTCCGGTAAACAAAGCAGGGCTACATGTGTCTATTTATATTATTTGTTTTTATCGTCCAGTTAAATTTTTGGCAAGACCCACCGTTTCATATTTCTGTAAAGCTAATGAGAATGATAAAAACAGATATTGTAGTACACAGATTGTAAACATTTCAATCTCTATTCGAATTATTTTTGACGACCTCGGTGGTCTAGCGGCCCAGCACACCGCTTTACGTCCGATGGTCGCGGGTTCGAGTCCTCGCACGGCACAAGCATTTGTATTCATGAGTATGATTGTTTGTATCGGTCTGGGTGTTTTCTATGTATATTATGTATGTATTTACGAAAACAAAAACTATCTATGTACTTGTATCAGTTATCTAGTACACGTAACACAAGTTTTAGCTGGCTTAATTTGGGTCTAGATGGCGCTGTGTGAATTGTCTTGAGATTATTAATATTATTATTATTGTAGAATATAAATAAACTTAATATAAATACTTTTGAATAATCGGAACATAAGTTCATTCGGAACGCAGATATTCTAATGCTGTTGGCCGCGGCTGGCCTTTACAGCTTCACTGAACCATATAGCGTGAGTGCAGATGGTACTCTAAACTCGTGGAAGGATTTATAGAGCGGCTGAAGGTCAACTCCTGCCTAACGGATACGACTTTAGTCTGAGGACACCGCTAGTGGTGGTAACCTCAGCTCCCTATAATTTCGATCCCTGTTTGAATTAGACGGGTGATTGTTCGCAGTGCTAACATTTGAATGTTTTTTTTTTTACATATAAATGTCCTGTATTTTAATGCAACTGGTGTATCTCATCAGCCTGTTTGCCATACAGGCTGATGACTGACCCACTGGAGTCACGAAGTCGCATTAGAAATCTTCCGTGACTCAGCAATGGCGTTGAAATGGCTTAAGTATGCCGCGTAGTTTTTTTTAGTGGGTAAGAATTCCACATAAACCCTAGTCATATTTCCGGCGTGAGGTTGTTTTTTAAAGATTTTGCCACACGATTAAAAAAAAGGTCAGACTGATATCTGCGAACGATATTGTACAATGACTCGGTAAAAACGGTACAGTAAAACAAAAAATACAGTACACATAAAACCGAAATGGAAATCCGATTTTCACAGAAGGAAATTTCGAAATAAAACTTGTAGCACTGGATTTTCTTCTTTCCTTGTCAACAATTTTTTTTTATTGATTTTTTAGGTTTTTATCAGGTGCTTTAGACCTGTTGCACTGCTTGCTACCTACATAGATCTATTGTGCTCGCCCTTTTTCAAAGTTCGCTACCTAGACCCATCAGGGACAAGAATTGAAGCATATTCTTAGGAGAGATGGATTTCGTTAAATTAACTCATCTCGTTATCATGATACTCCTAATAGTAGAAGAAATTCTCGCTATATTTATAGAGAGTGGGGTAGAATTTGTAATCGCCGTGCTAGTACCTCAATTTCACTTATTTCAGCCTCTAAGCAGTATGCTTTGGAAGCTGTTTCGGTTCCAGGCTGAAATATGGCTGTACAGTTACAGGTTCTGGATGCATGATATTTCTTCACATAATCCATAGTTAATTTTTTTATTTTGTTATTACAATAACATAAACATAGCAATATTCCTCTATAGTCTATTCCAAATGGTAAGTATAATCACCTAGAACAGTTTACACAACACCATATAGTCCAAAGCTAAGTAAAGCTTGTGTTCTGGGTACTAAACAACTGATACATCATTTTTTTTTAATACATAGACAACACCCAGATGAATACAAAAAATCATATTACTTTTTATGACTATGTAGTGCGATGTGTAGCTTATCCACCATTTTTTTTTATAAATGTTTATATTATTTTGATACCCTTTTTTATACGCCAGTTTTGACTATCTTACGAGACTCTTGGGAAATATATACACGTAAAATAATTCCTGGTTTTTTAAGAATTGCGTAGTGATCCCGCTCAAGTCACATTATAAATAAATAATAAATAACCCTGGACAATTTACACAACGCCATCTAGTCCTAAGGTAAGCTAAGCTTGAATTATGGGTACTAGACAATTGATATGAATAGTAATGAATACTTAGATACTTTTTTTTATAAATACATACATAATATACATAGAAATCACCCAGGCCAATACAAACAATCGTATTTATGAATACAAATGTTTGCACCGAATTGCGAGGAATCGAACCCGCGGCCATCGGAAGTAAAGTGGTGTGTTAAACCACTAGACCACCGAGGCTATCACTGACGTTGGTCCTATATATGCAATTACTTCCTATCAGGTGGGCCATTATAAGTTTATTTACTCAATTTCATCCAGTTACATAAAAAGACAGATATTCCGAGTATAGATTATTATTGTTACTATTGTTTTTGCTACAAGATACTACGATAAACAAACTGCATACTGTGGTTTCATTTGTAAGATTATATCCTTACCACAAATGATGTAAATATACTATATTCAATTACGGTAGTCGCATACAACAAATAGATTGACAAATCTAAATTATTTTTATCTTACATTTTATTTTATAATAACTTCACACAGGTGTACATGTTTTATACATATAAATCTTCTAGAGTCACTATTGTCTATTGCTAGAAACTGCACGTCCCCACAAGCAGCACCCATCATACTCGTGAACGGGTGCTGCTTGTGGAACTGGTCTGTTCATATTACGAACACTGATTAAACTTTGCTTTTGCAATAGCATATGCTAGTGGTCCCAAATTTAAATTTGCATTAAAATCTCTTGCGTAGTTTAAAAGATCTAAGCGAACAGACAGTGGAAGTGACTTCATTTTATACTATGTAAAGATACCATAGATAATATAGAACACCACATATTATATACTCTATAAAACTATGACTAAAAAAAAGTGTGACGCCGTTCGATATTTAAACGAATGTATGTCCGAACTCCAGCGCAGGACCGATCGTCGTGGAGATCTTTGGGGGAGGCCTATGTCCATCAGTGGACGTCTTCCGGGCTGCGATGATGATGATGATGTCCAAACTCGTATTTAAAAAAACCGTTGTCACAAGAGCATAGTCAGCGCTCACAAGAGCATATTCAGCGTTTTACAAATTTAATATGAAATTAACAATATTTCAATTAAAACTGTCCAACTATAATATTGAAATTGGGACACGGCGGCCGCGTGCATTCTTCGACGCATGCAGGTTCTGTTATTTAAATTATTAACCTGGTCTTAACACGGATAATTTTATGGCAAATAAAGGTATTTACCAGGTTCTGCTTTTCAGCAATAATTCAGATTGCGTATCTATACATATAAATAAAATTAGAATATCTGTTTGTAATATTGAAATAACCGTTTTTTTACTACGACCGATTTTGAGGGGACTTTTTTTTTTGGCAGGTTGCTGATGTAATAGGAAATAACTTAGGCTACTTTTATTTTAGAAAAATAAAGTTAAATTCCACGCGGATGAAGTCGCGGGAACATCTAGTATATACATATAAATATAATTGGAGTATGTGTTTGTAATATTAAAATAACCGTTTTTTTACTACATGCATATGAATATAAATACGGTACATACATCAAAATAATACTTTTTACAATTATTGTCCGTCTGTTTGTTCCGGCTAATCTCTGAAATGGCTGGACCGATTTTGACGGGACTTTTTTTTTGGCAGGTTGCTGATGTAATAGGAAATAACTTAGGCTACTTTTATTTTAGAAAAATAAAGTTAAATTCCACGCGGACGAAGTCGCGGGAACATCTAGTACATACATATAAATATAATTGGAGTGTCTGTTTGTAATATTGAAATAACCGTTTTTTAACTACATGCATATGAATATAAATACGGTACATACACCAAAATAATACTTTCTACAATTTTTGTCTGTCTGTCTGTCTATCTGTGTGTTCCGGCTAATTTCTGAAATGGCTGGACCGATTTTGACGGGACTTTTTTGGCAGGTAGCTGATGTAATAAAGAGTAACTTAGGCTACCTTTATTTTAGGAAAATTCTTTTATTTTAGTAAAATAAATTTCAATTCCACACGGGCGATATGGTGGGTACAACTAGTTTAATATATCATCGCCGCATTCGAACAAACACAACATACACTCTTTCTATTTCTGTGTATATTATGACAGTTTGTTCATATGTGGCATCTATTTAATGGTGCGTTGAAAATATATTTGACATTATTTACAGTAATGATAGGTTTATGCCTTTTTCTCGCTTCGTATTATTAAACACGATATTATTTTATTTATAACTAGCTGTGCCCGTGACTTCGTCCGCGTGGAATTTCATTTATTTTTTCTAAAATAAAAGTAACCTAAGTTACTCCCTATTACATCAGCTACCTGCCAAAAAAAGCTGTCTAGCTATTTCAGAGATTAACCGGAACAAACAGACAGACATACAAACAGACAAAAATTGTCAAAAATGTTATTTTGGTGTATGTACCGTATTTATATTCATAAGCATGTAGTAAAAAAACGGTTATTTTAATATTACAAACAGACACTCCAATTTTATTTATATGTGTAGATAATAATAACCCTGTACACTTTACACAGCGCCATTTAGCCCCAACCTAAGCAGAGTTTATGGGTACCAGATGACTAATATAAATAAAGATATACATAGAAAATACCCAGACAGATACAAAATGTTTGTGTCGTGGAATTGAACCCGCGACCATCAAAAGGCCACCGACGCTGTCACTATATTATATAACTTCATGTGAATGTAATTAAAAATTATTTAAACATTATTTAGAATTAAAATTTTCATCGTTATGGCAATCATAAGATATTTACAAAGTTTATATAAATTACCTGAAGGTCTTTGGCCTAGCGAGCGCATTACAACCCCGAGTTCTGCCATGGTGATGGTCCCATCTTCATCTTTGTCGAACAGCATAAAGGCTTCTTTGAATTCTGTAAAATATATATGTTTTTAGGTTATATTTATTACTCTTGTTTTATTTTTAGCCAGTCCTTTTTCCACTTCGATTATTTTTATTTAAATATATAAATATAGATGTCAAAAATAGCTAGTTATTTCACTTTTTTTTTATTCGGGTTTTCCCGTCACAGGGAAAGGAAAATGGACACAGCCCATACAGCCATGTGAATTCATTATTTCCTTTCACACTCCATAAAAGTGTCAAACCTCTAATAAATAAACTTAAAGTTTGGCTATTTAAATACTTCCGTCCTAATTCTTTGATCTATATTCTTAATATAAAAGTAAGTGAGAAAATACTTTATTAGGTTTGTAGATTACAAAACATATACGTATTTTGATTTGTAAATATTTTATAGTCTAGTATTTTACTGTTTATATTCTAAAAAAACTTACCCGCGACTTGTTCTTCCGTAAGGCCATATTCTGACTGAAAATAAGGAATAAAATGTTAAATTGTGGTCATAAATCATTTTAAATAGGTAAACAATAGAGAGTAAACATACAGAAACATGGCGTATAGATAAATCACTAGTAAGTCTCCGTAATCTTCTATATTCTTTATTATAAATATCGTCCGTAGCTACAGTTTTGGGCATTTTACCCGTATTTTTCTTATAAACTCACAGAAAACACATACCTAGCAAGTCTGTTTATAACAAAAACAATTTGTTAACACTCAGAACTTTTATCGGCAAAAACTTTTCTATACCGGCACAAAACTTTATCATTAGATCCCTTTCTTTCTTTCTTGTATCGTCAACAAAAAAAAAACTAGCTGCTGACTGGCTGGCTGGTCAGGAAATAAATCATACTATTTCCCGCGTTACAGAACCAGTCACAAATTTAAAAATCGAACGGTATTGGAACAATCCAGTTGTGTGATAAACACGTCGCGTCTCGACATTGTCAGCTTGGATATGTAGATTTCTATATTTAAAATATATTTTTGTTCGTTATAACTACTATCGGACTGTTCTACAGTGTTGTCAATATTATTTTGATCAACTGAGGTTCTCTATTAATAATTTTAGATGTTTATAGAAATATAGTTAATTTCGTTAATAATAATCTAGGTTAAAATGTTTAATTGTACTTTATTTATTTTTTTAAATAGTACTCTACTAATTACGCAATTAATATAATAGCAGAGATACTGCTATTATATTAATTGCGTAATTATAATAATAATTTTTATAAACAAAATAACCAATATCTGTCAAATATTTTAAATCAAATAATTTAATTTCATATTCATTTGAAAATACTTTCTGTATTTAGTTTTAAGTGTATTAATTAAAATATTAATAATCAATATATGTTTAACTATAACTGATTTAATAAATTATATAAACTTAATAATATTTTATTTGTTTTAATTAAGAGTGTAATGGATAAGTAGTCTTTGGCTTAAAACTAAAGAAATGCATTATTAATTGTTTTACAGTTAATTATCCGAGGGCCATTGTGGATGAAGTAATATTTTACTCCATCTTGGCACGCGTGTACATATCATTTGGAACGCGATAGTTTTGGCGGGAAAATTATGGACTCATCAAAATCATTGAAGAGCGTTCCGTTTATTTTATTCAACATTTCTGTGCATTGCAGTCATAAAGTTTCAATGATATTTTAACTAATTGGTATAGCTACGCGTGATTTTTATTATCATATTTATGGGATATTCATTACTATAGTATATTTTTTGTACATATTATTAGTTTTTTACTTTCATATACCTTTTTTGCATTTTGTTTTAAATTGTATTTGTTCCTTTTTTCCTCACCTTCTTCGCGAAAAGTAGTGAGTCAAGTGTGGTATAATAAGTACTATAGAAAAAATATTGATGTCATATTTTAATGTTATATGTAGAAAAGTATTAATGATGTTAGATATTGTACTATTTTCGATTTCAAACTATATAGGTGTTACCCGTGACTTTATCTGCGCGAACTTTTTTTTTTATTTTTGAGGTGAGAGTTAATAATAATAATTAGTTAGACAGACATTCACTCAAGATACAATACAATCTATCTTCACGTCAAATTTTATTAACATCTGTTCAGTCGTTTAATGCCTTTTGGTGTTAAGTCCGTCATATGTATTTTTTACTTATGTATAACGTGCATTAAAGTTATTTAAATATATATTAAATAGGCATTTACTTATTTATTTAGAATTGAGTGCCATTTTGTCACTCTTTGCAGATATAGAAATCGCGACATCTGTTGTTTCGCGCGCAAATTACAAATTAATATTTAAACATTTTCAAAGATAGAATACTGGCTGTTCTATATTCGAATTTTGTAAAGGTTCCAAGAAATCAAGATACTCTTCGGCATGCTTGTGTGAAACGAAAACGTTTTCGAATGTAGAGTTGTAAGTATGTAAGTGCAGAGGCCGTTAGTGTTCGACTCTTTTTTTTTTAATGGATATTAATATTATCTTACACCAGCGTATTTTAACGTGTGAACAATCTTTTTTTTTATACTATTATGGTAGTAAATAAGTATCCATCTAAACAACAAACATCCAACGTATTTATGAGTATTTTTTTATTATGGTACTCCATTCTCTCTGCCATGTAAGGGATCTGATGTGATTTTTTTTCTTCGAACTATTCTAATGCTGTTGACCGCACCTGGCCTTTACAGCTTCACCGAATGATAGGAGGCGAGTGTAGATGGGTCTCCTAACCCGTTATATTTATGACCTGAACACGGCACAATTTTTCTTTCTTTCTTAGAGTTTACGCAATAAAACAAGTTTATTAAATTAAACAGATGTTCTCGTTTTTGGTAGAACAAGAATGATATATTAAGATTTATTAAAAATCGGCCACGCCCACATGACACCCCTGGTGTTTCAGGCGACCATAGGCTACTGTAACCGTTTACCATCAGAAGGGCCGTATATTTTCATGCCACCTATGTAGTATGTAAAAAAAAATTTTGAATATACAGATTATTGATAAGTTTTTAATTTTAGTTAATTAGCGAGGCATGAAATAAAATAGACAAATTACATAGAATGTCGCGGTCACCTCCCCACGTTACGGCGACGCATAAATAAAATTAACAAAAAAAGCGTCCGACCGGAAAATTGGTCTGTCAATCGTGGACTCGTGAAATATGATGGGATGGATGAAACTCAAGCCAACGTTCATAATTAATTTGTGGGATTACTAAGTTTACAAAGACTAAAAAATATACTAGATACGCATGTATCGGTACGTACTGTCGACGTTAGATACAGATAAAATTTTGAGTAAAGCTTAAAGATTTTAGCAAACAAAAAAAAAAAAGACTGAATGGCCACTCCCTTTATTTATTTACAATAGGACAATTGTAAATAAATAAAGGGACTGGCTTTACCATGGTGAAGCGTTCAAGAGACTATTTTGATAAAGGGTCAGGCTCTGCTGTTATTAATAGTATATTACATACGCATTAAGTAACCATCGAAAATTTAAGAAAACTCTAGAAAACATCCTATGTGATTGTAGCCAATTTATACAGAAACGAAATATCTTCTTTGGAAAGTACTCTATCCTGAGGAGTGAAACTATCGCTCCCAAGAATATCCTACAATTCTATTGTCCCGGGCCTAGGCAACCAATTCTAAAAAAGGACGAGCACAGTAGATCTATGGAGCTCGCAGTGCTACAGGTCTAAGCATCTGACAGCAGCCCAAAGCCCCTCAATAAAAAAATAAAAGTACATCACGTTATCATGTAACATTCGTGATACGTATACTTATGTGTTGGCATTCCAGCAATCCTTAGCGGTATCCTCAGACTAAAGTCGTGTTCGTGTCAGGCATAAATTGGTCTTCAGCCGCTCTATAAGTTCTTTCGCGGGTTTGGAGTGCCATCTACACTCGTCCAGTAAAGGCCAGCTGTGGCCAACAGCATTAGAGTAGTCCGAAAAAAAGACGACTTGTACAAAGTCTATCTTAGTAAAATAGTCCAAGGATATAAAGATATGAACATTCCAGAGGAGTTTCCAATGACAGCACTAAAACTCGGTTAGAACTGAATTTTCTCGTCTTGTATTACTCATAAAACTATTTCTAGCATTCAATGGCAGTGTTAAACAGCATGGTTGGTGGGCGTTAAGTTTTGAATCATGCGTTTTAATTTTAACGAGAAAAACCGTAAATCTTTGTTATTAGAGCTGGCAATTGAAGATGAATTTGTGAAACTGTTTCAAATATATGATGTGAGACTTGTGTTCATTATAATTATTTGTTTATTCTGTACTAGCGACTTTCTTCGGATGTTATTTGGAGACACCATGATTTTTTGATCAATCAAATAATACGATAACAACAATTATAATATTGATATGGTGCCATCTATTGTTTTCTTAATATAATAATTATCTGAATTGCCTATTAATAAAAATGTAATTTAATTATTTCCCAATTTACCAACTTTCTTGGACATATTTATTATTATACGTTGGCCAATATTTAACATAATATTTTTGTGAAAATATCATCTTAACAAACTTACTGTATAAACAAACAGACAGATTTCTTTAGATAAAATTCTACAATTTTATTATTATTTGCTAAATTACGTATATATATATATATATATATATATATATATATATATATATATATATATATATATATATATATATATAGGCAATTATTCCTAATGCTATTTGACAGTCATAAAATAATTATTATTATCATAATAAAACAAACTCACGAGTTAATATTTAGTGACCAGAAAAAGACTGGTGTATCAGTATAATAAACCATAGATCAAATATTTCGCAATCATAATCATAGAGTAACATAATTCACGTAAAAAGATCATTAGTCTCTGGTCGTATTGTGCCGCGTATATTGTGCCGACAATGAGCTTATAAATCTCGTTGGAGGCGTAATTACACGGACGTTTATCACTGCCTTTCCTTGTTTCCAACGAATCAATACAGTATCACTATGTCATTATTATCCCTTTAATATATAGATAGATTTTTTTTTGTTCCTGGTTTATCCGCGATCAGTATGTCTACTATAATCGGATTGGTTAGCAAATGGCAATGAGAGTCCGCAGTCTCTTCATTCCGTTCAGGAATTAAGAACTGGAGTTTTGCTTGTCTAAATCCAGTAGATATGTTCTTTTCAGGCGTTTTGGGAGATTGTCAGTTAGTAACCTCTGAACTAGTTCATTGGGTTGGACACTCAGCCGAGCCTTGTATTTTGAGCATGTGCTAGCAAGCTCCTCTCATACTGTGGGTAAATTCGAATAGTGATGTATTTCCGAGTTGGTTATAAGCCAAGAACCTAAGAATGGTCTTTAAGATAGATAGAACCTTATATTTTGAGCATGTGCTAGCAAGCTCCTCTTGTACTGTGGGTAAATTCGAATAGTGATGTATTTCTCTTTAAGATGTTGGAGAATCTCAATGTTAGATATAGATATATAGATAAATAAAAAGCTTTTGTTCATGCGTGGTTGTATGAATCTGTGGCCCAAAATATATATTTAAGACTGTAATATGAGATTTCGGCGGGTCAGAGACAAAATGTCGGTTACTTTATACTCATCAATTGTAATAATATTCATTCGCTAGCTGTACCCGGGACTGCGTTCACGTAGAATAGTGACCTTGATCAAATAATGAAAAACATTTAGTAATCTAACCCAATAAAAGCCAAATAAAAAAGTTGCATCGTTATAGCTTAAAAATATACATATTTCCAACAAATTTCCATACATAATTCCGTACAACTCAATCTACAGCCTAAAAATTTGAAATTACAATACTTCCATACATCTTTCAAACTCTCCTTGCAATCCATTTTTCTTTATTTAAATTTAATCAATAGCCCAAAAAAAGATTGAAGTTCTAGCTTTAAAAACAAGGAAACTTCCATACAATCTTTCTTCTCCCATTTCAACCTCAGACAGACAGACAGTCACTTTCGCATTTATAATATAAGTAAGGAAGTAAGGTTTAAGAAACTAGCCATCTCCGATTACTAGCCTATATATTATTTTAATGTATAAACTAAATTTCTATAAAGTTTCATCACCATACATTCAAGAAATGCCAGCCTGAAAGAGTAACAAACGTCCATCCAATCATACTCACAAATTTTCGCTTTTATAATATTAGTAAGTAGAGAAACAGTGTACAATACTTATAAATCAGAATCGATTGCCACTCCCTGGGTACAAGCTACTGTTATATTTTTTGCTAATGAGCAACGTAATTAAGCCTGACTCATTAGCAAAATGTAACGAAAGCGTCCAGTCGATAAATGTGATAATGAGTTTGCAAAAAGAATTAATGATTTACGTAATTACAAGAGAAGACACCGTCCTGGTCAAGTGGTTTACTTAACTCAGAGAAGATAAGTTAAAATTGTTGTGTGAATACCATAAAAACTTTCAACTAGATTGAAAGCTTTATAATAATTTGTATTAACTAGGAAAAGCAATCCCGAACTCACAGCATCCCGATTTTGCACGATCCTGATCTCGCTGGATGTCGATATCGCGAGATCTTTCACGTACCCATAAAATAAACAAATTTATATTTCAGGACAATTCACGTAGTCTGTGTTATAGGTACTAGACAATTTTTTTTATGTCAACAACAATTGTTTGTCAATCTTTTTCTTGAAGGTTTCAATATCGTATTTAATTACCATTTAAGGTGAATCCACAATGTATTGTGTGAGGCTAAATGCTCACTATTTTTTTATTTTATTTAGGATCACCAACAATTGATTTTCCATCATACAATTTATTTAATTACATGTAATGAGTTATGGTCTAAATGCATAATTACTTATAGGAATGCATAGATAATTTATATAAATACATAGGTAATTAGTATACATGATTTTTGTAAATAAATCCATATACCGAGAAACCACACGATATAAACAACCATACTACAAATCATAATAAGTATAAATATTTGTATGTGCGAGAAAAAGAACCTGCGACCATCGGAAGTAAGGCGGTGTGCTAAATCACTAAACCACGGAGGTCTATTAGAGGTTCTATTCGCTTATTACAATATCAGCACCAATTATGGAAGGTAATTCCAGTGGTTATTTAAATAACTAATGTTATGACACATTTATAAGTAATGCGGCTATAATTAATTATGTTAATTATGGTTTTGCGTGTGGCTTAATGTCAACCATTTCTGTATTTAACCATTTCGTATAAAACTATTCGTTACTAAACTTTATTTTAAGATTTTTCAACATTTATATTTCATTTAGCTTACCCGCGCGATTTCGTCTGCATCACACTTACTTGACATTTATCATAATATTTGGCCCAATTTAAATTATATATTTTTAAGTTATAGCCTAATTTTGATGTATAAGTTATATTACTGTAAAATATAGGCAAAATTCGTTCAGTAGTTTTTGTGTGTGAGTAACAAACGTGCATCCATTCATACTCACAATCTTTTGCGTTTATGATATTATCGTAAGACGAACTTGATAGTGTAATTAATACCTATCGATGACTGTGGCTTTGGTATTATGCTAATAAGATTTCATATAATTGTATATGCAATGTAAGAATTCATAATGTAACAATACAACACAATGTAATGAAAACTGTGAAATTAGTAGTAATGTAAGATTTCTATAATTGTATATGCATATTGGTAAATGTAACTGGCTCCTAATAAAGATAGGTGACACTGCATGTTGTCAACTCACCCGGCCGGCCAGCGGTGGTTCTGGGCCAGACGGATAAGGTCTGCCTCGGTGCCACTGTTAGGCAAATTGTAACATCTCGGCTGGAGTTGTACAAAAGTGGAAATTAAAGAAATATAATAATATTAAAGTAAATTAAAAAAGGCACAGACGAATATGTCTGTGGAAAATTGTATATAAAAATAAAAATTAAAAAAAAATTCTAGGAATTCTAATTCATTTTAGTTATATGTATATAATCTTACTAATAGCTGACCGCGTAAACGCTGCTTTGCTATTTAAATGAAAATCGCTATTATAAATAGGGGATCACCAAACAATAAGGGTAAAAATTTAGGGCTGTTGCATTAAAAAAACATTTTTAATGCCACATTATAAAAATATAAAAGAAAAAGAATGGTCTAACCTTTGTGGACAACCCTTTTTACTTAGTGGTATGAAAAATAGACATTAGCCGACTCTCAGACCTACTGAATATGCATATAAAATTTCATAAATATCGGTCAAGTTTCGGAGGAGTATGGTAACTAACATTGTGATACGAGAATTTTATATATATATATGTGTGTTCCGTAAATCAGTAGAGCACACAGATACTATATGATCATATCTGTGCAGTAGACTCAGGCGACTTTTCATCCAAGTAGTTGTTCCATAATCCAATCAATGAACAGATTACTCTTTTCCAAATAGCGCTAAGGATTGAAGTGTCAAAACGAGATAGATATATAATGATATATAGAGTAGAAAGAGATGGAAATCGGGTTTGCCGTAGAGTTTTCTCTAAGCCGGTTTTGTTTTACGACGTACTTTGTTACTGTATTCGATTTTATAAAACGAGCGTGCTTCAGTCGCCTTGTAAAGATATTTCCATTACGTTTGATTAAAATGTAAAGAAGGAAGTAAAGAGAATGATATCTATTTAAATTTCCTGCCAGTTCTTCTGAACTGCAACCGGACTGGGTTCTGGGTTCTATCTATTATTCAGAATAGATAATATTATTTTGAAGTAATCATAAAAAAATTAAAACTAACGTAACTGAATATCAGCGCTGGAAACTATATTTTTCAAAAAAATTTATTGTGGTTCACATTGACTCTGTTTTGTAATGTTTATGTATGTTTATATTTTTTTGTCATTATTGTTATATCAAGACGACTCATTAAATATCTATTGCATAAGTTGCTTTTATTAATTTATTGTGAGTCTTGTTTAGACTCAGAATAAATTAATAAAAGTGTTTCAGGCGTCCATAGGCTACGGTAATGATTTACCATCTGATGGGCCGTATGCCTGTTTGCCAACATAGTAGTATAAAAAAAATGCACACATATCCGTAACAATGATACTATTTACTTAGTATCGAAAAGTGATTTCAGTATTACTCCAATGAGAAGGCATCGATCCCTGGTAGGTATAATAATATAATACAATAATATATTTATTGACACCAATTTACGTAGCTATAGTTATTTTTATTATATTAGTAGTAGTAGTTATTATTATTATTATAAACTACTAAATTTTTGTTAAATTCGCATCATGGGAATCCGCAGGTATCCGAACATCCCTAGCTTCCTAGGGATGTTTCGATACCTGCTTCTAAACGGTTCCTTATGCATGCGCATGTTTAAAATGTTTAAGCAACCGTTTAAAAAAAAAAACATAATATTGTACTTACCAAATTTATGGTAACAATCAGCTCGTACTGCTGATGTTTGTGTCCCTTTTTCTTCTTCCCTTGTGGTGTCTTCACCGCGGCCGCAGCTGCCGCCTGCTTCGGCGGCGCAGTCTTTGCTGCACCCTTTTGTGCTGAAGGCTTGACGGGAGTTTTTGGACCCCCTTTTGTTGAAGAACCTGGTTAATAATATAATGATATTGTTTTAGAAAATACATTCATACATATTAAGGTTTAGCACAGACATACGAATTAAAATAACCTAGGTTAATTCAGACAGCGCCATCTAGTATTAAACTTAACCGATCTTTTGCTCTAGATACCAGTAATCCTTTATAGAACAAAGTAGGAGCAGTTCCCGACTGTCTGTCAGTTTCAATGTTTATATCTTCGAAACTATGCAATGGATTTTACAGGCACGTAGGTATATGTATTACAATACATACGTTAAATTATACGATATACATATATACAACCGTTTACCATCAAATGGGCCGTATGCTTCTTTCCCACCATCGTAGTATAATCTTATTAATATTATAAACGCGAAAGTTTGTGAGTATGGATGAATGTTTGTTACTCATTTACGCAAAAACTACTGAACGGATTTTGATGAAACTTTATAGTAATATAGCTTATTCATAAGAATAATATATAGGCACAGCTGATAAATATTTTTAGACTTAGGCTTTGAAGCCGGCTACCGCAAGGGAAACCCCAAGTAGCGCCCTATCCAACTTGTGACACGGGTGTAGGTTTAAAAGGCCCTTTTAGAATGCATTAACACTCACCTTCACTACTTGCAGCTTCCCCCCAGGCCCATCTAAGACCGGGATAAACCCATTTCTAATACCATTCACTTTAATATCCAAAACACAACCGGCACGCCCTGCGCTCGTCGACTGAATGACGTGGCTCACCCAACGAAAGCGGATTATTCAACTACCGACCTCCGTATTTATAGATCGAAGTCCGTGTAGTAGGGAGTGAAGCGGGTATAACAGTTATCGTATGATAAACAACTTAGTTCCGTCTATTAGTACTAGATGGCGCTATTTACAATATTTATAATAATCCTTAACTTTAATACTTCATTATGTTAAATATTAAATAACAGTGATATGATCAATATAAATATAGGCCGAATATAATTAAATTCATCAATTAACAATGATAATAGTCATTGTATTGAATTTGCGATATATATACTTTTCACTTATGCGAAGCAAGGGCGTATCGCTAGTATATATATAATAATAATATAATTCTATCACAAATCTCATAGTGAAATGGCAAACAGCCAAATAAACCGCCTTTTGAAGTAACTGTAACATTTTCTACGGGAAGTGGGTGAATCTTATCACTCGTGCCATTTATCTTTGAAGTTCAAGTCGAGAACTGATGGTTTTTTAAGATTCCGAAAGTAATCCAAATGAAATTCCTTGCAACGCTTTATGTCACTGTTATTGCAAACAAAGTACCACTTCATATACGGTAGGACGGTCCTTACCATTGAAATGGTAACTGTCTCCTATATAACTACATGAGTCGTACTATGAACATCAAAGGCAAGGTAAATAATTGTAATAATAATTCATTATTATTTTATACATTTGACGGCCTCGGTAGCAACGGTGGAGCATACCGCCTTACTTCTCATGGTCGCGGTTCGATTCCTTCCATTTGCAATTATGAGTATGATTGTTTATATCGGTCTGGGTGTTTTGTATGTATAATATGTATGTATTTACAAAAGAAAACTATGTATCAGTTGCCTAGTACCCATAACACAAGCTCTGCTGAGTTTGAGATTAGATGGCGCTGTGTGAATTTTTTTGAGATATTATAATGGTAAATCATTAAGAAAAAAATTAATTTGCATGCCTCCTAATTATGATGCTGACATTTGTACCCTATTTTATAAGATCTACCATAAAGAAAATTATCTATCTATCTATAGATTGGAAATAAATATACAACCAAAATTTACATATCATTTTGGATATACAAGTACAATAGTGTACGTGCATATTATGCAAAAATAGCATCACAGTGCAAGTATCAAAAGACGGATTCTCAGTGTATATAAAAAAATATATTAACTGAAATATTCAAAATACTAGCTTCAAATACGGTTTATCGATACATTTTTTAATTTAGTTTCATGTCAAGTACAGTAACGTTGAAACAAACACGTACCTAAAAGACTCGAGTACGGTTTTGACACATTTGTAACCTATGTTACAAAGCCTTTGGATATAATCGTTATATTAATACGTCAAGCAAGAACTTTTTTCGAATATTACGTGGACGTGAGAGTATGAAATTTTGCACACTTATATATAGTTTCCATCCAGATGGAGTGCAGAACCCTAATATTTTTTTAAAAATTCTTTCACGTACAAAAATATACTTTATCAGCGACAGTCTAGGTTAGACTGTATTCTAGTTTTACACTAATTAAATATCACATTTCTACAATATATGCTCATGCGTGAAGTTTGTACAAGTTGCTAGTTCTATTAACATTATCACTGTAAAAGTTTTTGACTATAAATTAAAAAAAAAAAACAAAAACACACAAAAACGAGTGGATAGTTTGAACTTTGCAACTCAGACAGACCATATTCTAGATTGAAAGATATTATTGCAAACTCTGCATATTATAAGTATTTACCGTCTACACACATAACGGGCCAAATGAAAAGCTAAAAGCGGATAACAGAGTCCATCTTACAGGACAAGTATTTACTGGTTACAAGCACTGTTTTATTCATCACGTTTCGACACACGTTTCACACGTTTCGACTTGTAAATGTAAACTTTCAAGGATTATTTAAAAGAGCAACACACAAGTTTTTTGCTCGTTCTTCTTGTGATGAGATAGCTTTCCGAACGAGTGGTAGATAAAAAACAAATTGTTATGACTATTCAAAAGTGCTTAAACTAAGTTTATTTGAATAAATGATTTTCTATTCTATTCTATTCATCTGACTCATCATTTAACTGATCTACAGCCCATACAATTCATACGCGAATGCATGAATCAAAACGATATACCGCAAATATGAGAAAAAATCGCATTTATAACACAATATTGACCTTGATGGTCTAGTGGTTTAACACACCGTCTTATTCCCGATAGTCGCGAGTTTGATACTCGTACATTACAAGGATTTAAATTCACGTGTATAATCGTTTGTATCGGTCTGGGATTTCTATATTATATCATGTATGTATTTACAGAAACACATGTGTCTATGTGTTTATATCAGTTATCCATTACTCATAATATAAGCTCTGCTTAACTTGGAACTAGATGGCGCTGTGTGAATTGTCCTGAGATATTATTAATAGTTTTTGTGATAACTACGTCAACGGTGGGAGCACCCTTATTTCAATAGCTCTAACTAAACCAAATGGAGAGCCTGATAAGATAAGGTGCTTCTTGAAATGTACAGTGTAGCCACGTTTGGCATTAAGCCATACTAGAGCAAGTGAAATGTTTTTGGTACATAAATCTTATAATGCTATAAATTTCTGTACTAGAGATTGTAACAAGTTTAGAAGAAAAGCAAATAATGTAAGATTATATTCTAGAAAATAATGACATTATTATAGTTTACTAAATTTGTATTACACTAATAATATATTAAGTCACAATGTACAAAATACATACATAAAAAATTTACTTTAATCACATTAAGTATAACTCGAAAACTACTTTTGAAACTTACTAAACTACTTCTTGAACAGATTTATATGAAATTTATACGCATCATTTTTTAAATTTATAAAAATCCTTTATCATTGTCGGTTCACTTAGAAAATACTTATGAGGTAATAAACCTAAAATAATAACACAGTCGAATTGAAAATGGTTTTTGAAGTCGGTTGAAAATTGGTTCAGAACTTGCAAACATATCTTGTTATATAATACATAAAAAATCTATTATTTTCTGTAGTGGTTAACATAGATAGAGTGATTCAAGAGGAAGGTTTATATGTATAATACATACACCTGGGCAAAGCCGGGGCGAGTAACTAGTGTAATATAAAATAGCATGTAATAAATTTTCCAGTGAAAACAGGCCATAATAGATAGTATATTCTGTTCATATTAAAAAATAAATAAACAGAACCTACTTAAGTGTGCTTTAAAATACTATTATTGAAATCTATAATTAGGTTCACACTACTAATTTAATGCACGCAATTATTTTTGTTATATATTATGAGCTGTGGAATATAAATACAATGTAATTCACAGTGCAAATTGCTTCAAATATTTATAGTTATAGAATTGTAAATTGTTTACCTTTCTGACTGGGTGTTGTGGCTTTTTGTCCGGCGGCATTTTTCTGATTGACGTGCCCACCACCATCTGCTGGTTTGTTTCGCGCCTGCGGAAAAAAATAATAAATTTAAATTTAATATATAAAAATTAAAAATAAATTTATATAGCAAATATAAAGAGACAAAACCATTTATTTATATAATACAGTTTTTGCCACCTATGCACGTCAATATTATTTATATCCCTATCGTCCATTCGCTAACTACCTACTTCAATTGAAAATAACTAGCAAGAAACTCAACGTACATTTTCTGTAAATTATTATGACAAAAAAATGTTTGTGTTTAAGTGATTTCAAAAAAATGTTTTAGATAGTGTTCAAACCCATAAAATCTTAAACTCGACTCCGAATCGAACAAATATATTTTCAACATGTGTTTCAACAGGATTGTGTTTTGTAGGAAAGGATAAGAGCGCCTTAGATAAATATATATTCAGAGTCGATTACGCTACTTATTTTGTCTCTTTTTACGTAATTGGGACAACAAATAAACTGGCGGCCCGACTGATGGTAAGCGGTAACCATCGCTTATATTGGGGGGAAGGGCATTGGTAGTAATGTGGACTAATAACCTTATTGCTAGGAATGTACCACGTCAGGTTGACCTCCACGTGGTTTCGCCTGGAAATCATCATATTAAATTTCTCGTGAATTTATCATGATGGGCTATGACCTGTAGGTCTACCACGAAGTGCAATTCCGAAATTTCGGATCGATATTTCGTGTGATTCGTACCATGAAAAACGTTCATTCCGAAATCGTGCCCGAAAACGGAGAATATCGTTTCGATCGTCCCAAATCGTACCATGAAGTATCCGTTCGTACGTTGTTATGACGTTTTGACAGCACGTTTATCGTGATTTAAAGTGCGAAGTAGACGAAACATAAATAGTTAACTTTTTACTTTCGTAAGTATGGATTTTACGTATATAAGTGCTGTAATATATAAAAAAGTGATTAATTAATAATTCAGTTAATGTGTTACAGTGAATAATGTGATAAAAGTTAAACTAATTAGTGTTTTTAAATTTTATTGTGTTCAATATAACCTACAACTTAGCATTACTTTATTTTGATTTAGTTTCATTATGCCAAGATTGGCTGGAATTTTAGAAGCCCTCAATGAAGAAGAAATTGAAAGACGCAGGTTTAAAAGAAAAATGCGTACTAAGTACCTCCAAAGATCCATTCCCGACGAGTTTGTATCTAAATACAGACTCAGTCGGGAAGTCTTCGAGAATCTTTGTCAGTATGTGGTACGATTATTACCCCTGCCTAAAAGTAGTCGAGCAATCGATCCAATAACCAAAGTAAGAACTTATGTACATTTTGTAGATGAAAAAATTTAGTATTTACCTATTATTTAGTATTCCCATATCTATTTTTTTTTCAGATTCTCACTGCATTAAATTTTTATGCCAGTGGTAGCTACCAGGGTGCAGTCGGACAAAATTTAGACACCACTATGGCTCAGCAGTCTGTCTCAAACTGCATCAGGGATGTAACAGATGCCCTAAATACACCCTATATACTAAGGAAATATATAAGATTTCCTCAGTCCAGGGAAGACAGGAACATATTGAAGAGAAAGTAAGTTTATGTATATTAAATATGATTAAGATTTAACTTTATAGAATTTTATGCTCTTTGTCGATTTATAATACATATACTATTAATTTAGTTCAGTCAACTATTTGTAGCTGTAAATTTATAAATGATATTGTTGTTAATTTCAGGAATCAGCATAAGTTAATTGATGTTTAAATAATCAGTAGTTTATATTTCTTTTTCAGTTTTGCTACACAGTATGGTATCCCTGGTGTTATAGGATGTATCGACAGCACCCATGTAGCTATAATTCGGCCAACAGTCAATGAAGAGAGATTTTTCAATAGAAAACATTACCACTCTTTAAATGTTCAAGTTGTAAGTACAGTATTTTATGTAAAATTTGCATAGTGTATAAATAATTCTCAAGTTATTCATATTTGTCACTATCTGCAAATATCTTTATAATGTTTGTCCTATTTTTTAGATTGCTGACAGTAATTTAAAAATTATGAATATTGACGCCTCTTATGGTGGTGCCACTCATGATGCATTCATTTGGGAGCATAACGAGATCAAAGATCATTTGGAGAGTCTTCAAGGAGAAACAACTTATTTGCTGGGTAAATAAATCGTAATTGTTAACTTTGTAGTTGTACTACATATAAAATTGGTGAACAAACAAGAATACAATGTTTTGTCATTCCTTTTCATTATTAGGATGTCATAAAAGATGATTATAGATTGTATTTCAGTATTTTTTATGTTAAATATTATTAGCTGATATTATATTGAATAGTCTATAAGCTATCAAGTGCATTTATCAAATTCCAAGTCTCACAGTTAAGTATGTTTTCTTTTCTTTCAGGTATATAAAGATTAGAAGAGAGCCATACGTTCTATTTATGGTATGGGTTCGAGATAGTCATTATATCAAGGCTTTAAAGAATCAAATATCCTCACCGTTGCCTCACAGTACATTTATGAAATATTATGTATACAAGGAAAAACTTAGATAGTTTCAAGAAACTTAAAGACTGTACAAGTAGAAACTTATGCAATAAAAATATACTAATTTTACCTAAATGCTGTTAAAATTGATATTAAACAAATGTTATGTAAAAAAGCCTATTATAGGATAGATGAATTCATAGATGACAGCAATATAATAAGTTTATTTGAATAAATGATTTTCTATTCTATTCTATTAGAAGTTAAGGCATTACTTATTTACAAAATTAAAAACTTTTTACAATAAAATTTTTTTATTTTATAATCACATATATATATAGATAAAAGTAAAATCAAAATTGTATATTTAAAATAACACTAATTATAAATGATTAAACATTCATTCAGAAAAATGTTGTATAAGTATATGCAAACTAAGTAGTGTAGTTCAAGGCGCATTAAATTAATGACCAGTAAAAAACTGTAGTTTAGTACTTTGTGTCTTTGTTAATACTTATATAAAGCTAAGTTTAACATTTTTATACTCAACAAACTAACATTTAACAAATCAACAAATATAACATAATTCAATTTAACAAATCAACAATGAAACTATAATATAATATATAAAGCTAAGTAACTTTTTTATACAATTTAACAAATCAACAAACTAATATATATAACAATGATATATATAAAGTAACTTTTTTATACTCATTATTTAACAAATCAACAAACTAACAGAATTCAACAAATCAACAATGATATATCTAAAGCTAACTAACTTTTTTATACTCATTATTTAACAAATCAACAAACTAACGTAATTCAACAAATCAACAATGATATATCTAAAGCTAAGTAACTTTTTTTATACTCATTATTTAACAAATCGACAAACTAACACAAATCAACATTAATCATGTCAAATTAAAAAAAAAACAAAATTTCATCTATTCAGTCGTCTTAATTCTATTAGTAGACCCTCCAATCCATCCCTTATTAATACATTTAATTCCTGGAGTGATTGGCGAATCAGCCCTGACTCTACCACCCGTCGATCCTCCGCTGCGATTCGCCGCTCCTCCATTTCGAACAAACGCCTGCGTACACTGCGAGGTCCAATGGCGTCTGCTCGACGGCGTCGTCGCTCTGGACGTGTAGTAGCCGTTGAAGTTCTAAAAAGTTTTTTTTTAAAATAATTATTATCATTATTGTTTTCGGTATGCATGATTGGTACTAATACCAGACTTGATGTCTAGGAATATACTAGTGATTAGGACTATAAGCCCCCATTACTAATAATCTTAATATTTACAGAAATATTTTCATATAACAATAATTTATTATGATATAAATTTTTTAATCAATAATAAGGTATAAGTAAGTGTTATTTATTAGTACTGTCTTATCTTTACTTCTTAGTTAACATTGAAAAACTGTGTATATATAAAAAGGTACCAACTCTGTCTCAACTCATATTTCTGCTATGAAGCAGCTGTTCTTGCATAGCTGTATTTCAGTTTGAAAGGTGGGAAAAGGCTATTTAGGTACCTTATATACAGAAATAAAAGGAATGGTAATGCATGAGGAATACTATGGAAGTCACCATGTATTTTGATGACATCCATTATGTTATATATGTCTAGAGATAACAGTTAGCACTATTTTAGTAATGGTTTTACAACATACCTCTGGAAATGCAGGAACATGTGCATCCGACTGAGGTTCTCCAAAGCCCTCTCCCATAATACCCAATATTCTGCACTGTATTGGGTTTAAAGGATCAGCAGATGATGGCCCTACCCCAGTGGCTGTGGCAGACCTTCGAGCAGCAGTAGCAGCTTTTTTAGTTAGATATTTTTTGTCAGCCCATACCTAAAATTTATAAAATTTATAAAGTATCAGTATTGGAAAATTTTATTTAATAACAAAATTATTTAACATTTTAAATGCATATCACGTACTAAAATATCAAGAAAAGTGCTTACCTTCTGCCACTGCTTTACAGTTTTAGTGCATCCACCCAATGCATTGAGTTCGTCTGTGAGACGAACCCATAATTGGGTGGATCTTGTTCGCCCTTCTGCATTTCTACAGTGGCCACGAGCTAACTCCTGGTGCTCTGCTAGGAATGTTAGGAGTGTATGCACTTGTTCCACAGTGGGATTACTCATCTAAATGCATAAATACATTTGTTAGCGCTTGTCATAAATAGAAACTAATAAATAAAATCAAAGTTATTACATGTTCATTTTCATTGATGTTTAACGAACAAATTTAGCAATAAAAAATTATTTAAAAACACTTGTGATGATAATTCTTAAGTTTATATATAAAAAAATAAAAACAAAAATATTTGTAATACGCAGTAACGTTATTTTCAAATATAAATAGAGGTTTGACGTTTTCTTATGACATAAAATACTACTAATTTTAGAAGTTTATAATTTCAATACATTTAAATATAAACGACTGTACATTTTATTTTATCCGGAGTATACCACTTTATTTTTTTCCTAATTTAAGAGTGTATAATAAAAGACCTCTCATCTTTCATTCGTTCACGATCATAGTCTATGGTACCCGTCCGAAATATCTTATTCCGAAGAAACTTCATGGTTCCTTTAAACTAGTATTTCGGTCGTCTTTCGTTTCGTTACGCGATAATCGGCAGTAACTTTCGTGGTAGACCTACTGATTTCATGCGATTATCTTAATTTAATTTCACAATTGAAATAAATATTTTTTTACAGTTTTATTATTTCTACGTACGTAGTTTCAAGACCGTGATTCCACGCACCTGATGGTAAACGATTACCGTCGTCAACTTTCAATTTCTTGAAGGTTTCAATATTAGTAACTAAAATATCTTATAATTATTAAAGACTAACTTTTGCCCGCGGCTTCGCTCGCGTTAATTTATCCCCTTAAGGGTGGAATTTATCAAAATCCTTTCTTAGGGGTTCCACGAAATAAATATTTTTTTTACAGTTTTATTTTACGCCCTGATGGATTACCGTCGTCAACTTTCAATTTCTTGAAGGTTTCAATATTAGTAACTAAAATATCTTATAATTATTAAAGACTAACTTTTGCCCGCGTATGCCTAATCGAATAACATCATAAATTTTAGCCCGATCCGTTCAGTGGTTTGGGCTGTGCGATGATAGATCACTATGTCAGTCAGTCACCTTTGAGTTATATATATTTAGATTTATAAATAGGTGTACTTTTTTACATATAAATCCTTAAAAAAAAGCAGATGAAGTCGCGGATAACAGCCAGTAAAATCTTATTTTTATGTGGTACTATAGTAATAACAAAAACAATTTGAACGCAGTTGTCATCATGCATAAAAAACTAATATAATACGAAATGGTCCCTTTTATTTGGATATCCCTTTGTTTAACTCAAACAATCGAACTTGGCCTGGATCATGAAAGTTCGAAAGCCTTGACTTCGCCTTGACCCGAACCATAAATCTGGAGATAAGAGGACGGGGGCCATAAACTTGCTTTTCTGTCAATATCATACAATATGCTTACATTATGCTCAGGAGTGATATATTACAATATGTATGGGCAGATTTCCTTAGAGAATCCATCTAGTTTTTATATGGCAAAGGTGAGACGACAGGTAAAAAGCGTGAAAGAAGCTAATATCAGTTTTTTTTTAAGTCATATTGTATTTAGAATACTTAATTATATATGTACTATTACTATAAAGATAGAGTGTAGATTTTGTTATGAGCAAAGTAAATCCTGAACCACCGTTTCTGTCACTTTGAGAATTTTATTCACTGTTTGCAATACATAATATTCTAGAGTTACTTACATATTGTACCTAACATACATTATCTTCTTGGTGAAAATATAAAAATAATACATCTATCAGAAAATTTAAGCAGAGCTGTGTTATGGGTACTAGACAACTGATACTTAAATACATTTTTTTGTTATTACATACATAATATACATAGAAAATATCCAGACTAATACAAACAATCATAGTCTTTTAGTTAGTTTCCTCGCAATATATGTAATATCCCGTGATATCATATTAGAATATATGATATGAAAAATTACTAGAATCTATACTCTTTTCTTGTTTTTGTTTGCTTTCAAAATGTTTTAATACGATTTACTATTAATAAAGATTATTTCTGTTTATGCCTATATAGATGTAATGTTTATTATAAAGTTGTGTGACTAGCTGCTCGTTCTGACTTCATACATGTAGGCATTTCGGTAATAAAACATTTTACAGGTAATTGTTACTTCTAGGATTATATTATTAAAGTTTTGGTATAATAATATAGTTGAATGAATTGTTAAAATCAGGCCAGTAGTTTTTTCATACAAAAATACATATATTTCCTTTATAATAATAGTATAAATTACATCAGTACGAAACCGGAATTGATCAGCTCGCAATATATCAATGAATGGAATTTCTATTCTCAATACAAGCAGTCTTTGAATGGTCCGTCATGATATCCGCTCAGATGTAACAGGAAGCCCATATGTCACACGCTGTGTCGATGTGTTTCTATACTCGTGCCAAAACGCACGTGTCTGTTACTATTAGGGTTTTCTAGAATTTTCTCGAAGATTCCAGTCAATGCAGATGGAATCACAATAGTTGCATTTTTTGAAGCCCATGTGTCACACGCTGTGTCGATGTTACTCGTGCCAAAACGTACGTGTCTGTTTCTATTAGGGTTTTCTAGAATTTTCTCGAAGATTCCAGTCAATGCAGATGGAATCACAATAGTTGCATTTTTTGAAGCCCATATGTCACACGCTGTGAATTCCATACTCGTGCCAAAACGTACATGTCTGTTTCTATTAGGGTTTTCTAGAATTTTCTCGAAGACCAGTCAATGCAGAAGGAATAATAGTTGCATTTGCTTCAAAAATTAAAACGGTGCATTTATTTAAACATAGATGTATGATGTAATAAATGTAAGAACAAATAAAATTACAGCCATTATTTTAATATATATACTGTTGCAGGACTTTCACCCCAATTTAACCTTATATTAGCTACCTATTACCTACACCTTAAGTGGAAGTTGGCGTTCAACCGCTCTATAAGTACTACCGCGGGTTTGGAGTGCCATCTGTACTCGCCCCCTATCCGGTCAAGGTGTAAAGGCCAATCGCAGCCAACAGTATACAAGTAGTCCAAACAAATATAGATATCTATTCTTTTTACACTATATAAGTGGTAAACAAGCATCTGATACAATGGTAAATGGTTCCCATACCCTATAAACGCCTAAAACAACAGCGATGTACCGTGCGCGTTGCCGGCCTTAAGAATCCTTAATATTAGGATCATGAACTACCTGCGAGGTTGTCTAGGATATATTAATATCCTTCATGAAAAACCCCATGCTGTAGTTTGTCGAGAAAACTTCGGCAGGTAGTTCATTGCATAATTTAAGGGTACGCGAAAGGAAGCTCCTCTGAAACTGCACTGTCCGAGACCACTTAGGTTCTTCATTTCATTTTTCATTCATAATTTAAGAGCTACGCTCTTGTCGGTGGAGCTCTTGCCACTTTCCGCGATCTTCCATCATGCTCTTTAATTCTTGATACGACACGACTCCCATTTTGTCCTCAATTTGCTTAATGTAGCTACATTAAGCAAATTCAAATTCAAATTCCATGCAAATTCCTTGGTCTTCCCCTCCCCCTCCTTCCCTCCATTTTCCCCTCAATAATAATTTTCATGAAATCATCGTGCCGTATCAAGTGTCCTAACATTTTTCCTCGTCTATTTTCTATTGTGTTCAATATCTGCCTTTTTTCTTTTACCCTGTGTAGTACTACTTCGTTTCTTACTTTATCTAGTTACTTAGGTTCTAGCATGCCTATAATAATGATCATTAAATAATCTATGATATATGGGTTCAGATTCAGAATGATTCTTATATCCGCTCAGTTGTAACAGGAAGCTAGTCGCACGCTATGCCGATGTGATGTACCACAGTCTTGCCAAAACGTGCGCGTCTGTTCCTATTAGAGCTTTCTACAATTTCCTCGATGCTCTCAGTCGATACAGGAGGAAACATAATATTACGTAGTTACGTTGTACCGTTGCATTTTCGTCGACAAATTGGAACGTTGTTTTAACCATTGATGTATTATGTACAGTAAACGGTAGAAGAACGTTAACGCCTATTATTTTAATCTGCTATTGCAGCACTATAACCGCAATTTAACAGTCGCTTAATAATAATAATGTACTTATTAATTTTTACCCAATATCATTAATTTATGATATAATAGCTGTGCCTGCGGTTTCACCCACGTGGAATTTATAGCATATATGTTATTCTGGTGCATAAGCTATATTATTGTAAAGTTTCACCAAACTCCGTTCAGTAGTTAAGTAAAGAGTAACAAACATCCATACTCACAAACTTTTACATTTATACTTTTATTAAGATAAGATGTGATATATATGATGTTAATTTCCGAATGGACCATCACTAAATCCGCTCGGATGTCACAGGAAGTTCAAATGTCACACGCTATGTCAGCATGATGTTCCACAATCGTGTTAAAACGTACCCGTCTGTTCCTAGTGCAGATTTCTAAAGTATTCTCGATGCTCGATACAGGAGGAAACATAATATTACGTAGTTACGTTCTACCGTTGCATTTTCGTCGACAAATTGAGACGTTGCTTTAAACATTGATGTATTATGTACAGTAAATATAAAAAAAGACATTTGCACTCTATTGCGGCACTGTAACTGCAATTTAATCAATCGCTTGGTATGTGTGATATACGTGAATTTAATTCCCATTATTTTAATCTACTGTTGCAGTACAGTAACTGCAATTTACATAATCAGTCGCTTGATTATACATGATATACATGTAATTTCCGAATGGATCGTCATTAAATCCACTCAGATGTCATAGGAAGTTCAAATGTCACACTCTATGTCTACATGATGTTTCACAATCGTGCTAAAACGCATCCGTCTATCCTATTACGGTTACTACAATGTCCTTGAAATTCCCAGTTAATATAGGAGGAATTATAATAATAATAATCTTACATCAATCACACAGTGCCATCTAGACCCAAATTAAGGTAGCTGAAGCTTGTGTTATGTGTACTAGATAACTGATACACAAAGATAACGAAAAAAAAAATCTATGTATTTAGATATTTTTTTTCGTAAATACATACATATTATCCATAGAAAACACCCAAATCGATACAAACAATTATACTCATGAATACAAATGTTTGTGCCGTGGGAGGAATCAAACCCGCGATTATCGGACGTAAAGCGGTGTACTAGACCGTTAGACCACCGAGGTCGTCGTCAAAAAGGAATTATAATAATATTATGTAGTTACGTCGTTAACATTTTCCGTTGACAAATTGGAATATTTCATTTTAAACTTAAACGCTTGAAGTACAAGATCATAAAATCTTGTACTACAAGCGTAATAAAGATCACACTTATTATCTCTATTAATTATTATAGCGCTATAACCGCAATTCAATTATTAGATATTATTGTTGTATAATGCGCGATATATGTATAAATTATAAACCAATAAATGATAGATTTATGAACAATTTAAAAACTGAGCTTCATTTATTATGCTATTTAAAAATGTCCTACTCAAAAGAATGAATTTGAAGTTGACATATTTTGTATTTAATAATAAGTTTTTTTATAAACTGAATGATGATGTGCAGTAAAATACTGTATATATTATTATGATTCAAGAAACATAAGCAACTGTAGCAGAATAACTTTAATCTTTTCACGTTTTTAGACGTTGCTACGTGATTGCAGTATGGTGTTTATATACAGTATATCCGTGTCCTCTATACATTACATAATACCTCAATGGTTGTAAAATATTATATATTATATACTAGTCCACACTACCCATATTATTATATTATATATACCCATATTAATGCACCGTCATCAATGTTTCTCTGCACCACTCCTAGTTGACTGGTAGATAACGCCGCCGATAATAGGTGTTAAGTCCGCCATATGTACCTACACATTGTTTTGTGCATTGAAGTTAAATAAATAAAATAAAATAAATAAATTATATAGTAATTTTAATTAAATATTATATAGTAATATTATAAATATTTATACATATAAATATTTATAATATTACTATATAATATTTAAGCCTTTAGTTATAAGGGTTAAATAGTTTTTAAGCCTTTGTTTTGTACATACAATATGTACAAAACAAAGGCTTAAAAAGTATGTATTGAATGGATTTTCATGCGGTTTTTATTTATCAACAGTGTAATTCCTGATGAAGGTTTAAATGTATAATATAAAGTCTACCCGAGCGAAGACTATGATTAAATTAACTGTACATCAATTAAAACAGTGTCCGAGAACTTAACCGATACTAAAAAAAGAAATTACAAATAACACTTTTTTTTAAATTCAATGTGTAATGTAAACAAAGAAATTCGAATTTTAATAATCCCCAGTATTCTACACAAAGACGTAACTGTAAAATCGAAAATTTGAACACATCAAAAAAGCATCGGGAGATCAGATCGCGTAATTCATCGAAGGAAACGACTTTAATAAATCCACCGTTCACGAGCCATTAGTCGTTCCGAGGGGAAAAAGATGAAAAATGAACTTACGCCAATTTTTCACGTGGCCTTTAATGAACAGAATTCATTTGGTCTCGCGCACCATAAATATGCAATTAAACTGTGAAAGAAACGCATTTCTTCCTTTAAAATTTTAATGGCAAACAAAATGATGGCCAGCTTCATTCAAAGAGGTAACCATCGCCTATAATTATAAACAACATAAACAAAATCATTATGACGTTCGTAATATCACTCGCTCATTGTTAATTCTGAAGAGTAAGTTGTTTTGCAACTGTTCCGGACCACCGCTTAAAGATTATATATAGTCATAGTTTGTAGAAATAAGTTCGATTAGATAAAGCAAATTTATAAATAGTACAATTGTTACATAGTAACACCTTAAGATTAATAGATTTGATAGGGATAAGTTTATAGAAATTTAAGTTCTTTATGTTATTATTTACAAAAATGCTTGACAAATAAATGATTATAATGGTTGTGGTTTCAATCCCCTAAAAAAAAAATAAATAGGTCGGCAAATAGAAACAGAATAGAATATAGTATAAAAAATAGATCCCAAAATACATAGGGATCTTTTTATAGTATCATTTCATTTGTAGATATAATTGTAATGTGCGTTGCGCGGCAGCATTCGTTCGACTGACGCGCGACCTCGCTCTCCCGCGCTATATATATATGAGGGGGAAGGGGAGCGAGGTCATATAAAAGGCGCGATCCGCGAAATCGCGAATTATTCCTAAACCGCATTCATAATAGAAATGTAAATTAAAGATGGTATTGTCGTTTGATGCACAAATTGTAAACACAAAATGTAAGATTGATAAAATATAATAAAAATTATATAAAGGGGTGAGGAGAATAGGGCGGCCAAGGGTCCGCTGGCTAGTAGCCGAAAATCGTATATAAGTAGCGTCCAAAAGCGCTACAAATCATAGCGAATTCAACCTCTGAATAGCGACATTGATCTTCGGATAGCGAAATCGACCTGAAAAGGAATCAACCACTGAAGAAATTCTCCTCGCCTCTGCATTCTGAACCACAAGAACCGTTTTCTCATTCACTGCCCGTCCAACCGTTTTCTCATTCACTGCCCGTCCATCGCCGTCGTTAAGTATAGTCATCACAATCCTCTTCACGCATCGTGTCATCGCATCGTGTCACCGTCGCATCAGCATCGTTTAAACGTCCTTCTCAGGACGAATCATCGTGGTGCCTATAAAAAGGCACCTGGTCCTTCACCCGCAACGCGCCCGCGGCGTTGATTGAGGCCCTTCAGGTAGGGAGTGCTTTGAAAAGGGCACTCTCTCACCTCGAGGAGGATAGATTGACGTCCGGGCGTACCAGCGACTCGGTGCCTGCCGACGCGCCTTCCGACTCCCGGGGGCAGCGGCCAGCACAGCAACCGTACACTATTCTAACCCAAACACAGTTTACAAAGCGAACTGCAGAAATAAACGAGATAACTAATAACTACCACCCATGCAAACAACGTACAGCAATGGTATCTAAAATTTATTTATATAAAAAAAGACACTGGTAATAAAAAATAAACACCTGTGCATACCTATATATGCATATTATTAAAAAAAATCTAGTCTATGATATCACTCCATAAAAAAGCCGCGACATTTGAAAATAGAACGAATTGTAGAGATTATTTGCACAGTGTTCGAAACGGTCGTAAAGTACTGTACAAATAGGTAATTACTATCGTAAAGAATAACAACAACTTTAGAACTGTTTATAACAAACGATAGGCTGTCTATACACGATACGATTTGAATTCGCCGAACTTGATTTAAGCTTTCTCAAGCAAATTCATTTAATTTTGTGGGCTTGTAAATTGTGTCGTACCGACTTAATACCAACTTAGATATATTTTACTCATTCTACTAGCATTCTGATAAAAAAATTAGCTTACGAACAGGCCTAACCGATCTTGCCTAATCGTAGAGTGTATAAACGCTTAAAACCTGTAACATACATATCCCAAGAGCATTGTAGATCATTACAAATATAGAACACATTTTTTAATCCACTACATGCGACGTAGAGCTATTAAAGGTTTTACAAGCACGTCCAGATCACTGAAATAACGGGCTAGAAGAGCCTGGTAGAAACTGACTGTAAATTGTAGCATGGACGACCACCCGCAGTGACATTGTAACGTGGTTCATAATAATTATTATAAAATCACGTGTTTTTCGTGATAATGTGAGTTAGACAGTTTTAAAACATTCATGATCATATTTTGACTTAAAAAATATTCGAAAACCATACAACTAGGTATAACACTGACAAGAAATACAACGATACGTACCATTAATATCGTATTAATTTACTACCTTGGAATAACAAAGTCAAGCATTTAATATGCTTACCATTATTTTAAATTAAAGTATTTTTTAAGAATAAAAATTTACAGGAATAAATTATGATCTATATCATTTAGTTCTATGGGGAATGAAACTCAAACATTATCAAATAGATTTGTATTTATCTCCAAGCATTAATTTATAAGGTTATATCTAAGATGAAATCAAAAGGCGAATAAAGTTAAAGAATATACGTGAATTAAGTATCACAGGGATCAATGTCGCGTTTCTCCCGAGTCTATGCATAAATTAACAGACTTACGTCAAACTTGAGTGCTTAAATATCAACTGGATGAGAAAGTTTGTTTGAAATGTGTCACATTACAACACAATGTCACTTTTGTTGAAGTTACCAAGTTTCTACGGCCGGTTTGGTCTGATTATGACTGCTGACAGTAGTCACTGTGGATTTGTTAACAAGTAATTGTTTAGGTTAAGAATGAAATATTTTTTTAACCAGACCTATGTATTTAACAACATTATTTAGATTACAATAGCAAAGATAAAGTTGTACTAAATTAATTGGGTACTAAATTCTATATAATTAAATTATACGTTTATAATAAACAAAATATATTTCTCTTAATGTAAGTTTTATGTTTTGATACAAAAATTATAGTAGTGAATCCAGTATTTATGAATAATGTCGCTCTTACAAGGATATTGCAAGTAACGATTATGGCTGCATCAGGTACCTGGCATCCTAAGTTGCAGTTCGAATTTTGAACGAATTTGACGGTGGCCAGTTCGTTACGTTCTCGGTGCGAGCGCAGGTTGTGTCAATCCCGCGCTTTTTACATTTCGAATTTCGATCAAAACTCTCTCAAGTTCATTCCTAATTAAAATTTTCGAAAATTGTAATAATGGTGCGTTCCTTTTATTTACTCCATATAAATTAAAATATATTCTTGGTTTTTTTTTTACTTTTATATACATTTATTGTCGTTGTCTTGTTTTTAATTATATAAAGTTTTTGTATTGCAGACAACTCAAATAGATGATGAACAGATTACAAGTAAGTATTTGGTAATTTACGTGTTATTTAATTTGTTTTTATGTATGTGGTTGTGATTTATTTATGTAGAACTTATTCATACATTATTTGACGTAATGATTAATTGCAATACTACATAATATTATAGAATTTAAAGTATGGACGTACATAATTACCTTATAATAATAGTCTAGAGACATCATATTATTTACAAAATTCAATAAGAAAAATTTTTTTGCTGGATTTTTAAAATTGAGACAATCTTATACGTAATTATGCTAATAAGTCTTTTATCAGTTTTTTTATTATTTACTATAAATGAACGAAGGCTTAGTAACTCTTAATTAAAACAATAGTTATTGAATTAATGAGAAAGTAGACATTTTTGTCGTTTTCATAAATAATTAATATAATTATTTATTTTGCTGCAATTCTTACAGCTGAGCTGATTTACGACGTGCCTAGTCCAAATATCCTGCCTTCTTTTAAATATTTAAATAATCACGACCTTATCAAAATCTACTCAGCAGACATTTAATATGTCTGCCAAAGTTTTAAGATTCTATTTAACTTTTGTGACAAATAGTAGTGAAAGGCTGTCACTCCCTAATGTAATTTGTCAAAACTTTATTTCATGCGAAAAAAGGAATTAACTCGCGTATCAATCAATCACTTCCGACTTCAGGATGAAATTCGAAATGTTTTTTTTATTATAATCTTCTTATGTATAATACTAACGGTTCCCGCGATTTCACCCGCGTTAAATTTCAATGTAAAATATAGCCTATGTGTTATTCTTATGCATAATCTATATTACTGTAAAGTTTCATTAAAATCCACTCAGTACTTTTTACGTGAAAGAGTAACAAACATTCATACTCACATACTTTCGCATTTATAATATTATATTCTCGTATCACAATGTTTGTTACCATACTCCGAAACGGCTTGACCGATTTTTATGAAATTTTATTTGCACATTCAGTACGTCTGAGAATCGGCTACTAACTATTTTTCATAACCCTAAGTACGCATTTTTTTTTATATACAACATTATAGTACAAAAATATTATAGTTATGAAAGCAAAGTAGTTTTGGCTTATTTACCGAGTTAGGAAAATAACAAAAGTGTGCCTGCTTTTCTCAGATCTCCTATATTTTTTTCTTGTTCCGATTTTCCCATCTCAGTCTCTCGATTCTCTCATCTCAAAAGGACTCAATCTATACAGCCAGTGTCTTCAGTAGTATTGTCTTTTTGTATATTCTTTTATTTATGATCTTCACTAATTATAACTCTACAAAGGTTGATCTCTTATCACCTCAATAAGTCTGTAGAAATCACTTGATACGCAAATAGAATTCTGAATTCAAATTGCATATTATTCTAATTCAATTGCATTCGTTTGGCACGACACCAATGGAAATAGGGGGAAACGAATGCCAGTACCAAGTCTGAGAATACAGTATTATGTTACACCATCATTTATACCGTTACGATGAACTTTTTTCATGAAATTAACTGTTTTTTACGTTATATACAAGTGGCTGACGTATCTGAGTAGCAACCGTCCTTTCCGTAGACCACGGCAGTATACCTGTCCCACTTACACTACGCCATCAAGGAACAGGATATTGTCGACTACATCAGAACCAAAAGTAACTTGACATTGAGTGACGCAGCTGGAATCGAGTCATAATAGAAGTTTTAAGACTTTTGTAAGTTGGGTCCCTACTAATATGCCATCCACCTTCATGAGGAATGACTACTGGCCCAAGGTAATGGTGTGTCGACGCTATCGTGGAATACTACCACCAACAGTGTCCTAATCTCAGTATATACGTATAAAATAATAACAAAAATAATTCTTTGTAGGGTTGTTAGTCTGTATGGTATATATTCTAAAGGCCATAAAGTTTCTGAAGTAAATAAATAATAAAAAATACATATCAAGAATGCTATAGACAAAACTCATAGACACATAATGTACCACGCGTTGTCAATCAAGTTAAGATATGCCTCGGTACCTTATGATTTTAAGGGCATATCTCACTTCAAAACACTGCTAAAAAAAAGTTACTTGGTGGCTAAAATCGAATCGTCGAATCGATAAAGAAGATTAATTAGAGTGTGTCTAATGAGGAGTCTAGTCTAGCCTATTTATCCATTTTTTATATCATCATCATTGCCTTGCCTTTACCTCATTAGTTGGAGTCGACGCAGTATCGTCGAAGGTCGAAGCAATATCTTCTTCTACTGACCTCTATGAGCCGTCATATATGAGCTTACTCTCCTTTTATACATACCATCTTTCACACAATTCATCCATATTTTTTTTTATTATCATTTCTCCGTCCATGTTAATGTTAAATACTTTCTTTAAGATATCCTCCTCCGCAATATCCATATTCTGAATATGATAATTAAAAAACAGTCGTTAAATTTATAGCTGTTTAATGTTTTACTTGTGCCAGATGTATTTAAACGTGCCTATAAAAATATAGCTGGAATCACTTCGAGGGTTTGAAGTATCAAAAACTGAAGTAACAGACAAAAGGGCCGTCAAGAACCCATTTGTAATAATTACACTTCATCGTTGTCTAACCGGCGGGTTATAGCCTGCGATTAATATTAATTTCACGTTAACAGGTGAAACGCTTTTACCACAGATAACATAATATTACATACTTTTACTGAAATCATAGTGAATTACACTTCAGTCTATTACTGTGTACTCGAAGGAGTCTTTGGTGTTGGTGTTTTTAAATCATTATCTAAATTTTGTTTCGACAAATTATTAATTTTTATAATTGGCAATTTGCTCACTGGTGAAATGCATTAGTTATTTGTTTTAAGGTACAAATGGACTGATATGTTTTTGTAGTACATTTACCTCTATATTTAAAAGAAATAATAAAAACTAATTTTGTTTATTCGATGATAACAGTGCCCCCGACTGGGCTAACGGCGTGGGCTAATTGTTGGCGATGCACCAGTGGAGGAAGAAAGGAAGGAGTATGGTCAGGGTTAGGTCCGTCAGATCATAGTGGTAAATTCACCAAAAAATTATCATGATGGTTTCCAGAAGCGTGGAGGTCAATCCGATATGTGCACTAGCAATGAGGCTACTAGATCCTATTAATAACGATCCCCTTACCCCACTAACAACATATTAATTCTATATTTCGTAGTCAATGATACAATTAACTAATAACTATTTAAATAACAATAACAAACAGGATTGGAGTAAAATCGGTATTACATTTCACTCTATAGTAGAACTCTATTGGTAAAGATATTGCGTGACGGAACACAGTAAAAAAGTCTACTTCAGAATTCCCTCCATTTTGGAATTAACAATAAAATAATTATGGTCGTTCCACGTTGACTGTTTTCATAAATGAGTCCGCATAATCGTAAGGCGTTGAAACGTGAAGTGGCCGCGGCCGTTGCGACACTTTGCTCTATTTTATGAGTGCACTGTGGGGATATTATTGTCCTGAATACGATCTTTTAATGTCTCCTAAATTTTATCATTATACATTAATGTTGGAATAATATACACGGCAGTGAAAGTTTCAGACAGTTCCATATTTAAACAGTATTCTTTTTTCTTATTTGGAGGAAGAAATGTGTAGTTCTGTATTCATATATAGGTACTCGGAAATAATACTGGCTGATTATTTAAAGAGTATTATATACATGAAAAATGTATAAATACTCATGTATTTCGATTTGTTACATTTTAAATACTTTAAAACATTACCGCAAGTATTTTTTATGATCTAAACCGGCATATCATGATAGTGAGTCCCCAATTTAGCCAACCATATATCGTTCTTGGGATTAGGTATGCCACCTAATCGTCAGTAGTCATATGTATAAAAAAATATACTGTAATTAAATATATATGCAACAAACAACTAAACATTGCACTGAATAAAATATTTTTCTTTCTTTCTTTCTTCTTTCATATATGAATGCTATAAATAAGTATGAAAATGTTGGTTTCCAATTACACAAAAACGATCTAAAAGAAAAAATATTAGGTCTGTAAGTGACAGATTAGTTACAGCTACAGTCAGTAATTAATATTTATAATGGAACACAGCGTTGCAATTTATAATGGAACGACAAGCATCCAAGTCTCAACAATCAATTAAGATTTCCTACAGCAACAATATCCGGAGGTTTAATTTCGGATTATATTAGGAGAAAGACCGTCCAAGCGTAATTCTGACTAGAGTTTGTTATCCCTATTTATTTTATAAAGATCCAAACGTTTTATTATTTTATATATCTCCCTTTAATCGGGCGATAGACTTGTATTTGCGGATGAAACTCACTAAACAAAGACAACTATAAAATAAATTATGTTGATGAAGATTTTTTAAGCGGAAGATAAAAATTTGCGAACAATTCTACATGTATTTTATATTACCATTTAAGTATGTTTTTATTTTTGTTCAAAGCAATACACTGTTTTTCAGTTATTTCTGCGTGAACTAAAATGTCCCACATGAATAAATTATTTTTAAGGTTAGCTTTTTTCAGATACCTTCACAACTGTGATTACAGATAGTGTAGTCAGAGGTGTTTATTAACTGTCGAGGTCACGATGACCTCAACACTTGATAGGTGACCTCTACGCAGTTCCCCGTGGAAATAGACATGATAAATTCCTAGTGAATTTCTCATGATGGGCTAAGAAACTGACATCAAGTTTGCCTTGTCATTGTTCATTGGTGCCCCGCCAGCGTATACCGTTACCGCAGGCGGGTGCACCATTCCATTATCATACATAAGGACACTGGACATGTCTGCACTGTGCTAAGCATATGGAATGCATCATGATAGGAATGAGTTTATAGCCATCTCTCGATTAAATTTGTTTTTTTATTGGTGTTCCCATCATCGGAGAGTTAGAAATATAATTTAAAGCGTATTTTATTTATATCCGCCAGATTTCAACGAATAGTACGTTGTGATAGCAAACCGCGAGTCATAAAGCTCCCAATAATGT